AGTCATAGCCCGCTACAGACGTTAGAATTTTTTACTGTTTGCTGTATGCTTAGCACTTTAGGAGGTATCAGCTTTTTAAGGTGGGAACGATTAGATTGAAAAATAACAGATAACTTTTGTAAAATGACATTTGCAAGAGAAAAAAAACTGAGATTGATATATTTGGCTCGGTATTAAGACGGTTATTTCGTGCTCTTAACACTGTTTATCCTACAAAAAGTAGAAAACAAAAAGCTAATCAAACAGTGCTTCTAAAAAGTATAAAAAGCCGCTCAGAAAAGTGCAGTATTTTGTTTCTTTTGTTCAAACTTTTTTTTGTAAAGCAGGAAAGAAAGTAACAAGAATAAAAACAACAGTCAAAAGATCTTTGCAGCTGAGTTTATAAATAAAACTGCTGGCTTCTTTTTTTCAATTTCACCGAGCCAATGAATATCGAATAGTAATTTTGAAGACCCAATAAAACAAAAAAAAAAAAGATAGGAAAAAATGCCAACAAGAGCAAATTCAACTGCTATTTTAACAGGTGACTTTCTACGTTGAGCAAAAAAAGTTTGTAAAATACAGAAAAAAAAGTTTCTCCCTCTTTCAAAAAAAATAAAAAAAAGAAAAAACTAAAATTTTTTCAGTTTTTTGCTTTTATTTATTGAGTAAATCTGTTCTGTCTTTGAAAAAAACGATCGAAAAAAGTTGCTTTATATTATCTTACTTAATGACTAATGCGAAAGAAAATAACTATTTCAGAAATTACTATTGTTTTCTTTCTTTCATTTTTTTGTCATGATTTTATTTAATTAAGTTTTTTTGAGCATTTATTTTTCTTCTGTTCTTTTTTCAATTCTTATCTTTTTTAGATCTTTTTAAAGGTATAGTGCACTGAGATTTGTTCAGATATGGTGCAACAAGAGGTGAATTACCGTGGTACAACGAACGCGTTGACAACCGTTGGAGGTGTTTTTGATTCTACAGCAACCCCGGTGAAGCATGCTTCAACATTTGATACTTATGCCATCAGTGAAACTATCGATGCAGTTGCTGGTTCATCGTCATTTGTAACCATTTATCTGCTTTTTGGCCAGATTTTAGAATATAATCATTAAACTGTTAGCGACAGTTATCTGTTGTCAAACCTACAATAGTTCTTTTCCACAAAAAGGTTACTTTTTACAACTGACAACAGATAACAGTTAAAGCATTTTCTGTTACATAATTACACCTGTTTCAGCGATAAAACTGTATTTAGTGTTATTCTGTAAACTAAAGTAAACCTGATCCATCTTATACGTCGTTTTTACAGTGTCATGACAGTTGGACAAGACGCCAGAAAGAAAAGTTGTCAGTTACAAAAGCTGGCTCTATTGTAGGTTCGCTTTTATGATTTATCACAATTTTTTCAAGCTATGAAGCAAATAATACAGCTGCATTCGAAAAATTAGTCTGTTACCATCAGATTTTGAAAACTTCTATTTCAGATGTCACAGCTGAAAAGTGTTGTTGTAATAAAAACTATTAGCGCTTTAAAACAACTTTTGAAACAAAAGCAATTTTAGATTCTAGTCTTAGTCCACTATCAGACAGTATCAACTCATCTCCATCATCGTCACCTGACCGGCTCGGTCATGAATGGGACAGTCTTTCGTTGAACGACAGTTTGTCTTTCCTCCTTGTTCCTTCTGTTAAAAAACTTCTTTGTTGTAAACCTTTTATTGATGGCCGGGAGGCAAACCTGCGATTCATGTCGACTGTATGCACAAACTATATAAGTAATTTCAGTCTCCTCGCTACTGCCGGAAGCTTGTTCATTTGAATACGCTGTACCCAGCATAGATGGAATCGATAAAACAGCCGGTGTTTCTGATGAAAATGTAAGCAGTAATAACAGTTCGACAACAGCATCACAGTTCCTCAACAAGGTTTGAGTTAATTGATCTAAAACTTTTAATTTGAAAAAACTGTTTGCATTATTTTATTTTTTTTTTTCGCTTTTCATAGACGTGAAAAATTCCTTTCAAATTGTAAATCTATTTGTTGAGATATTTTAATTTGAATATTATCATCAGTTTTAAAAATTACCATATTTTTTTTACTTTTCTTTTGAAGCATCAATCATAAACACCGACTGATTTCAAATACTCACATTTTGAAACTACATAACTAAACCATGTGCTAGTTTTAAAATATCTACACTTTTTGTTGGCATCAAAAACAACGAAAGAAAAACACAAAAAATTAGGATGAGAACCGAACTAAGGACTCATGTATTTGTTTCACAATTTGCAAGAATTAGAATAAACGTTTACTTTACTTTCAAATTCAAATTAATTGATAAACGAGATCTCAGCGTTGACCTTACTACTATAGTCTTCGCACTAAGACTTCTCTTCTGTTAACTGTTGTGTGCCATAAGAATATTATTTAAACAATATTCACTTTACAGATGTTAACTTCTGTAGCATTTATTAAGTAGTTCATTTTGATTGCTTCATACTTTTGCTAAAAAAGCCGAAAGAGTTGAGAATAGATATTTAACTATATATTGCAATTCTGATAAATTCAGCTCAAAATTTGTTTAAAGTAAAGCAAAACTGATTATTTATATTTGCTGTTAGGCTTTTTCGCCACTCTTTAAAAATATGATTTCAATACATAGGTTTCAAGCTTGAATGACATACTTTTACTTTTACATTGTACTTTTACATTGCTTTTACATACTTTTACATTGTACCGACTGCAGGATCTGTTCTTTCAAATTGCATCGCCACAGTTGATTGTTAAAACTGGGAAAAAGACTTCTTCATTTAGTCTGCTGTTAAGACTCTTGGTATTTTTGTAGTGACTACGAACCTAACAAATGATTCAATAGTTTTCTATTATGCTTCCACAGGTGTTGTGCTCGAAACACACTTAAAGAATTAATGCTCAAGTTTATTGCCATTCTAAGATAGATAATGAACGAGTGTTCCGATCTAAGCACAAAAACTGGTTACATAATGTTGTCTTTGTAAATAACAACAAAGATTGTTGTTGAGATTTTCAATCAGTAGCAAAAGCTTTGAAAACTGGTAAAATTACTTTTTTCAACTGCAGCTGACAATTATCGGCTGAAAATTGTTTTTAATAGAGACCCCCCAAAAGGAAGAAAAATTGGTTTTTGCTGTATGATCTTTGTTTTCTACATAAGACTGGAGAAGAAGCGCAACTGAAAGGTGCGGACTAACAGTATTACAAAAAAATATACTAGCCAAAAAATTTTCTTGAGCCGTTTATTAAAATTTTAAAAAAATTTATTTCTCATTTACTTTGTAAAATGAAAATAAAGCTTTAAACAATAACTAAATTCAACTTTCACAATGGCTAAGCGTAAACAAGAAATCCAAAAGCTTTCCGGAATTGCTGTTATATCCTAACAAAGCTTATTTTCACCTTTTAACGGTTTGTTTAAAAAACTGAACAGTTTTACGACTGATAGTAAATCAGTTACATAGGTTTTAACTGTAGGCTTCCAAACAGTATGAAAAAGCACAGAAACTGAATTAAACTTTAATGAATTTGACCCAAAAAACAAAACTGATCCAAGAATTATTCTGCTGTTTAAAATCCAATTTTTACTTCAGTTCTACGAAGAAGAGCAAACTTCTTGACAGGAAACCATTAACTTCAAAGATCTGTACTTCAGAAAAAAATTTTAACTTCTAGTTGAATCACAGTAAAGTTGATACATCAAATTCAAAAAAACTTTCTGCCACTTTAACATAAACAAAATAACTCCAAGGCTTCAACACATTAATGAAAAACCGACATCAAAGGAAATAACCAAACAGTAATTTTCCAGTTAAAAGAACGCCACTGTCGGTTCCTTATGTACAGGTACATGCATTTTAGCAGGCTCCGTTTGACAGAGACAGCTCGGTGATACATTCGTTACCTCAAAATCCTATCCTAATAGAGGCTAGTTGAATAAAATTACTTGATCGGAAGTTCTGAACGATTCTAATAGTAGTAGCTTGAACAGACCAAAAAACGTCTTTGAGAAACCTTTGAAAACGTTGTTTACTCTGCGGTCCAACTGTTCTGTCCCTCTGCCGCAGTTTACTTTTCATTTTGTAGACGTATTCAAGCAATGGGAATGTTTATGTGGATCAGTCCCGAAACAATTGCGCCAGAGCGGATAAGAAAAACGACGAAACATCACGGCAGAAATCATTTTGCGCTTCCACAGTTGTCACAACAGATGATTTGAATGATCCACAAAGATGTAAGCAGATCAGCAGCCCTGAAGAAACGTCGGAAGGAGATACTGTGTCATCAAATTCAACAAACCAAAATAATACCGAAACGAAACAATGCGGCAGCAACAAAAGAAAGCATTCATGTCCATTATGCTTCCAAGGCTTCAAACGATTGGACATCCTTGCTAGGTAGGCTTATTTGAATCTCAATAAAAATTTTAAAAAAAGCAGTCTTTATGTTGTTTTACAAATTAAAGGCATTATCGGACGCATACCGGAGAAAGACCCTTTCAGTGCTCAGTTTGTTCCAGAAGTTTCAGTCGAACTGATCATCTCAGAACACATCAACGGACTCATACCAACGAAAAACCTTACGCATGTCCGGCTTGCTCGTACTCTGCTGTATGTGCTCCAGTACCTGTTCTTCCTGTTTTTTTAAAATTGTTATAGCTTTAGTTAGAGAATAATAACTAAGTAGTCAGATGGTTTTAGCGAAGAAAGGATGTGTTAACTCGTCACATGATAAATATTCACAGAATACGTTCAACAAATCAGGGTCGACAAAAGTCTTGAAGCTAAAGTAACGAAAGCCATACAGGAATTGGCTAACGACGGATGAGATCACAAAGTATATTTTTGTTTAACGCTTTCTAAATTTTTAAGCAGAGAGAATTTCTATTTTTATGTGCTGTATTCTCCACTAGTGATTCAGCTGTTCAAGTTTTTTTTAGTATTAGCCAAATAAACACTGTGTTCCGATAAGTAACTCAGCTAGAAGTAGCAGTCAGTTATATAAGTACATTTATAGAGAAGGAGGAATACAAACATAAAAAAAGCAGTTTACCATGTTTTGAATAAGGACAAAAGATGAAAAGGTTTAACTTTATTCTCGTAGTTCAGGTTTTATCAGAATTTTGCTTGAAAATCTATTTAGGACATTATATGACTGGGAAAAAATAAGTTTTAAACTTTTTATAAAGATGATCAATTGCATTTTTTACGTTTAGTGATAGCACGAGTTTTTTTTTTTTCTTTGTTTTTATTACTCACCAATTAACAAAGTACAAAAAATTTTCAGTATTAAGAGCTGTTAAATTGAAAATTTTCGTATATATATGCAAGGAAAAAAAAATTTTTTTTAAAGCAAATGCTGCCCAACAAATGTTTGAGCTCAACTTTTCAAATGATTCACCAGTATCTGTAATTAGCTAAACGGAAGTAATTTGGTAACTTACGGAACACTTTATATTTATTTTTGTAAAGATTTCTAGTTTCTATAACCAATTTCATTTACATTACAGTTAAAACTGTGAAAAAACTTTTTTTAGTCTATATAGAATAAAATGTTACTAAGATGATGTTTCAGAATTGTTATGATATTCTGAATATAAAGTTGAAAGATTGGTCTGCTAAAGTTAGAAACATTTTTGCAGATGACAGTTAAAAAAAAGCCGAAGACACAGTAAAACCTCTTGTCTTTAAACTTTTTGACATTTGAATGGTGAAAGGTATAGTGCCACTCTGTTGTATGTGATGGAAGAAAGCCAGAAAGACAACTGCTAATGAAGTGCACGAATAGTTGCTACTATTATAGGATGAAATCACATCAAATTCAGAAAAAAAATTTTTCAAAATGATGTTAACTGAGGTAAATATGGGCTGCTTTTACGAAACATTAGTACGATTGACAAATAATTATAGGGTTTCAGGTTTTTCACCGAAATCAGCTACTTCAGTTACTCTTTATTATTCCAACACTTCGGAATTCCAGTAGAAAACAACTGAAGGATTACTGCCGTATAATAGTGGAAAATTTGACAGTTATAAAATAAAAATTGCTGGCAAGGTCTGAGATAGATAATGATTTCTTACAAATTTTGGTGTTACTTTAGAGCTGTTAACAATTACAAAGATCAGGAATAAAACAAAGTTAGAGGTTCCTTCAGTGTAAAGTAAGAGCTATAAAAACAAGTGTAGCTTATCTTTGTGAGAACAATAAGCTTCGGGTACCAGATGAAAATTTTTTTATTTTATTTGATTTGCAGGTTGAAAGAAAAAGAAGCCCAAAAAATTTTAAAAAAAAAAAAGAAAAAAGAAGAAAGAATGAAGTAAGCCATTAGAGCTTTTTGGACGTTAACACACTTCCTATAATTGTCTCTAATTACAGGAGGAAGACGACCGGATAAGGTTGTTGTGCTGAAGAGCTGTTTGCTTTAAGACAGTACGACACTGAACCGGCAATATGTTACTCCAATTTCTAATGTTTAAATAAAACTTTATTATTTTTTGCACATTTTAACAAATAAGTTTTTACGATGATACAACAGCGAATTAGGAAAACGAAAACAAAAAAAGAGGTAGGAAGAAAAAAAACGTCTTCGAAGTTTTTTGTTTCACACAGACATTTTTTATATTCGATTATTCATAGGCGAACTAGTGTTAAAGGCCAGAGGCTTTGCTGTGTTCGACAGTCTTATCAGTTGGTTTTATATGTTTATTTAGTCTAAAAAGAAGAAAAGTGTTGCTGTCAATTTTGTAACGTTGACAATCTGCAAAAAACGCTGATGTAAACGTATGCTTATAAAACAATATCACTTCTTGTCATCTCTTATATTTAATACGTTTTTGATAGTTATTACAAATTTTCATTTTGACTGCTCGACAATAAGGGTATTATTTTTTTTTTTTT